TGGAGACTACGAGAATTTGGGGTGTGGAGGGCCAGCCTGACTTGAGCAAACACAGAGCTCAGAGCAAAAGTCAGTGCACTTTACTGTAGTGCACTAGAAACCTATAATGAGGGAACATCACTGAGCCTAAAGAGACCATCTGTGGCTGGGCATGTCCCCACAGAGCCCATCAGGGAAAAGTCACTCTCCTGACTTTGTTTTTACACCACTCCTTGTGTGGTTGGCCACTGCTGGCGGCAGGATGCTACCGTAGCCAGACCCCTTCTCTGAACTCGTACAGCCACTTTACTGCTATTAGGGGAAGATAAAAGGAGGATAAGGATGGAGCATGTAGGATGAGATAAAGGCAAAGAGATAAGTGAAGGCTGAGCTGCAGGAGCTTTGGAAACAAAGGTGGGGGAACTTGAAATTGCCACAAAAGATGAAAGAATGCAGGGAAAGGGAGTGAAGGGTTAGTGTGTGCAGTGATGTCAGCAGAGGGAAAGCCCGGCAATGAAAGCCTTGTCTCCCAGGAGGATTGGTTTGCCTTGGCCTGAGCCATCGCTGCCGTGGATGCAAATATTAAGCTTTGATCACAGCTGCCATAATCTTCCCCTGACACCCAGCAATGAAAGGGACTGAAACAGGCAAAAACAAGGCAGCTCTCTGGCTGAGGTGAAACCGCATTGTGTAAGGAAACCAAAGGGCAGAAGAGCTGCTGATGGTGGAAACGAGGTTTCCACCTTTTCACAAAGCAGGGCAGGGGCTTTATGAGAAGCAGGACAGAGTAACTGGCTAGAAGGGGCTGTGATTTTTGTTCCTGTAGATGAGTGACAGCGCAAGGGTAAAGTACGACACTGTCTGCAGAAACCTTCTCTTCATGGTTTCTCAGTGGCAAACAGGAGAAACAGTTTCTGCCCCAAGAACTTACCTGTCTCCTTCAAGAAAATGCACAGCGAGCATTGAAATGAGGGGAAGGTTAATTAGAAGCTGAAAGTCCTGGAGAAAAGATTGCTTGGTGGCAGAGGCTGACAATGTGCACAGGGTGACTGCTTGTCATTTCTGGGAAGCTGCTGCTCCAAAGCTCTTTTAAATTGAAGACTCACAGCCACCCAGGTTAATCTCATGGGATGGTTGTACCTCAGCTGATTCCCCCTTGCCTATCCGGAGGCACTTACCCAGGTCTCTTCACATCTATTTTATGCCCGTGCTCTGCCAGCAGCCCCTCTGGCTACTCTCTTGACCAGTCTTGGGCAGGTATTGCAAGGTTCAGAGAAACCCTACCATGATCAGCCTTGTCTCTGGGCCATGGTACTCACCGTGGTCACACTTCTCAAATCTTGCATGTTAAGCATGCAGAAGCTCAGGGTTAGCTGTGGCGATCAGTAGAACATGGGAATTGAACTGCTTTCACCAGCGCTAGCTTTGTTGCAGACTGCAACTTGATCATCTGGGAAAAAAAAAAAAATGCGGAGACACCAGTCAGATCTGGGCATGAGAAAATGGGAATGAGAACAGCACATCTTCAGTGCCCATGTTCTCTAGGACCTTCATTCCACCACCACCACAAAAAAGGATTTCATACACCAGGCAACAATCTGGACCAACATGGATTTGTGTGAAACTCACAGAGATTTTCCCTCTGAAGAGGCCGTCTTTCACATAGGATGCGTTGAGAACAGATTTCGTGGAGCAGAAAAGGGAAAGATAAACTTGGGAGGAGTGGGAAAGGATTAGGACGCTACTGGCAATGCATCTAAAATTCTCACGTAGACATTTCTGAGTTCATAGAATTATAGAATTGTTGGGTTGGAAAGGACCTTAAAGATCATCCAATTCCAGTCCCATGCCATGGGCAGGGACACCTCCCCAGCTTTCCTGTAGGTCCCCTTTAGGTACAGGATTAGGAGTGGGATGGACTGAGGTTTCCCTCCTCCATTAATAATAGTTTAAAGCCCTAGTTGAAAGAAGGGAAGTTCAAAAAGGAAGAAGTTCACACCAACCTGCTACTTTCCCTGCTTATAGAGGATTTGGCTTACAGAAAAATTGCTTCTAGCTGGTTGCTTCCAGTTGCATACAGTTCTTCCTGAAGGATTTTCCACTTACGTCTGGCCTTAAATTGAAAAGATTCAGCTCTGTTAACCAGACTGAACCTTGAGGGAGGGGTGTTTCTGGAAGGGGGTACACGCAGCTGAACATAGGAATTCCAATCCTAATTTAACTCAGGCAGACAAAATTTGTTTCAATGGGAGCATTAAGCTTCCTGCAGGTTGTTATAAACTGATGGACTCTTGCTTAATCTTAGCATTCACTGTTGCAAATGAATCACTGTTACTTCCACCTCCCTGCCCACCCCTCTGCTTGGTTCCTTTATAATTTTACAGCTTCCTGAGCCTGACACTGGGAAATCGATAAGTAATTTAGAGCCCCGTAAATACAGAGGGAAACAAGTTATTTTGTACTTTTATAAATATTTTGAAACCAAAATTATCTAAGAAAACAGGTGCTCAGTTGACTCAGCAACCCATCCATCAGCATCACACAGTTAATTGCATAAGATCATAAACATTTATAATTAGAAGGCAAACAAACAAGAATTTTATAAACAGCCCTCTTGAATCAGGCTGTGCATTAAATATTTGTGATAAGGTAATTAAGAATAGATTTACAATCCTGGCTCAGTGCTTAATACTTCGGAGAATGGATTTGATTCTATGGAGGATGTTCTACAGCCAAGGAGAAAATATTTGATTTTGGTTCTTTTATCCAAGGCTTAAAGAGGTCTCAAAGAAACATTGGCTCTGTCATTGATCAGACTGGAATTTCATTCATTACAGATCAGACAGCTCATTTAAATATGTGTCTAATGTCCCTTGCCTTGGGCCAATCCACTTTAGGCCTGCTTCAAAGCTGTCTCCTTGGCTGGATCTGTAGGCTTTCCCTAAGTCCCGCTTTTTATGGTCGTGCTTTGATCAGATGTCAGAATTCCCAACCACCTTCCAAAGCAGGGAAGAAAAAAACAAATTTTTCTGTGATGGCATCACGCTATTTGGCTATGAAAAACTGACATCACTGCAGGACTACACCTGTGTAACTTCAGTGGTCTATGGGAACCAGAATAGAGATCTCTCTTGTACTATAAGTCTGAGTACCCACCTATATTTGCTGTCCCAGAATAGCCAGGCTTGAATACTTCAACTCATGGAATTTCTTCAGCAGCCAGTAAGGAGACTCAGCACCATATTAAGATGAATGTGAGAGTCTCCCTGAAGCTAAGCTGTGATCAAGCCAGCAAGGTTTCTAATTATGCTTAGAATCAGAAAGGCTGGAAACTTAGATTGTAGTGAACCTGGAACTTACATTCAGTAAAATCAAATGTAGAAACCAGGTGGCTGAGAAACTAGGTGGCTGCACTCCATCAGTGAGTAAAGGGGAGGTCCGCCCTAAGTGAAGGATGACCTTCAGATTTTTTTTTATTATTATTCTTTTATACAGAACAGGTTTACTCTGGTAGTCAGCTGTCATCAGAAACTAGAACAGTCTGGAAAAGCTGGGTGAAGGATAAAGCCCTAGCATCTGATTCATCAGAAATAGCAGCAAACCTCTTTATTCTGTGGTGACCATCATCACCCCTCGCTGGTCAAGGCAACCTCCTTATTTTCACATTTGTATTTATGCTCCTGGAACAAGTAGGCAAGAGAGTTGCTCTTCCTGGAAATGTTTCTAATAATCCTGATGCTGACCAAGAATGGTGAAGCCATCGCTATTAAGAAATATTAAATTATTTGTATGCTAACTCAACAAGTACATGCCCTATCTGCTGCTCTGGCTTCAGATACATGGGACTCAAAGACACTTTCCTAACAGACAGACCGCTGCAAAACCAGGACACCCAGACCCTCTCATTCTGCATAAATCCCATTCTCCGTTAAAGCTTATTAATTATATTGCAGTGTGTCAGCTAAGCCAGTCTATATGAGAAGTTGCAGCTTCGCTCAGCCTCAGTGGGTAAGAACAACGCAGGTGCTGCTGTTCCCATTGCATTCAAAGGGCCAAAGCCTGGTAGCTTGAAAATAACAAAGCTTAATAGTCGAATAACATCATCTTCAAAACAGCTTCGACCATTATCTAATCCTCCCAGCCCTCTTTCAAGTGTGGGGAGGATGACAGCGAGCTCTGGGAGGTGAGCTAACTGCGAGGTGGAAGGGCCTGAGCTGCTCGTTCTCTTCCAAATGTGAAGACCACGAGAAGGCAAGCGTCCCAAAGCCTGGCTGCCACCCCAGCGCTATCAGCTCTGCCGTATGCAGACGGGTGATGGGACAGACGCACCCTCTGCATACTCAGAGCAGACACTCTGTGAGCTCATCCACACTTTCTTCCAAGCCTGCTGTTTTCTCCCCTTGGAAGCAGTAACGTCCGATGAGGTACCTGGTTTGCCAACCAGCAAATGCTTGCACAGGATGACAAACCACTTACAGGTACAGCCTGCCTCGTGTTGTCTTGCATTGCCGTCTCTGGCCCCCATCTGCGTGTCTGCTCCACCGCTGCGTGTGTGTGGGGAGATGTGGTCTGTGCCCGCTCGTGACGTTGGTGCAGCAGACGTCACCGGCACGTCAGCTCCAGCTACACCCCCTCCAAGCACACGCCGCTAGCTCGGTGAATCATGCCTATGCAGCGTGCAAAAGTAGCCCAGCGATAGATAAACCTCGGGCGTTTATTGGTAAACAGACACTGTTTTTGCTGTAGGAGCATAACTCACTCTGCTGCATTTAAGACCTGTTTATTGATTGCTGAAATAAAGCTGTAATCCTTTTAATTCAGGGGAAAAGGGATCCAGCCGAGCAGGAGCACCGGTGCTCTGCCAGTCAGTAATTAAAAACATGATTTATCACTGAATATACACCGGCGGAGGGAGAACTGAGCTAACCAGCTAGCTAGAGGGCACGATGCTGGGGTAGGCTTATGGTTCTTTCTAAAGTTTTGTTCTGTTTTATGTTTATTTCTTTCCCCCTTCCCTCCAGGTCTAATAATACATGAAGGGCCCTCGGTTTACCGGATTTTTAAACGGTGGCAGGCGGTCAATCAGCAGTGGAAAGTGCTGAACTATGACAAAACAAAGGACATGGAGGAGCAAAAAACAGGGACCAGGACAAATCAGCGCCCCTCCTCCCAAACCACCCACTCGTCCTCCACTGGTGGTACAGCCACTAACTCCGCTCCAGCCGACAGCGGGGCCCGGGCTGCCGGCCAAGCCACAGGCACCCTCTCTGACCACCACTGTGCTTACACCATCCTGCATATACTCAGCCACCTGAGGCCTCACGAACAGAGGAGTCAGTCTAGTAGTAACAGAGAGCTCGTCATGAGGGTCACGACGGTCTGAGCCGAGGAATTCAGGAGGCCTTAACACGGAGCGGAGGAGACAAAGAACTCATAACGCAGAGGAGCATGGTGTGCCTTTTTCTTTCTCTTCCCTTTTTTTTTTTTTTTTTTTTTCTGTTTTCTTCTTCTTCTGTTCCTTCTTTTCTTTTTCGGTAACTGCACAAGATATAAGAGGCGGCACCTGGCCAGCTGAGGAAAAAGCAGGTGGAGGGAAAGCTGCACACTCATGCTAAAGAGGTTAATGTTTTCCAGCCAGTTTAAAAAAAAATACAAAAAAACGAAACAAAACAGAAAAAAAAAAACACAAATCAAAAAAAAAAAGAAAAAAAAAAAGAAAACAACAACAAAACAAGTGCAATACAGACTAAAAACTGAGTAGGCAGAGTTCTGGGGAAGCAGAGGAACAGACGGTTTAGCATGTCTTACAAACCCTATTACCTGGAATAGGTAACGCTCTGTACACACACCCCATGCACACACACACGCACACACACGCACACGTGTGAGATTTACAAAAACAAGGAAGGGAATGAAATATTTGGAGTAGTTTTTTTTTTCCAGACTGTGATTAACCAGGGCTATGAGTCGTTTTGTTCATGAGTCACTATGGAACCTTGTTTGATTTACCATAGGATTTCTGAAGTGAAATGGCTGGGAACGTTTCAGTAGTGATTTACAGATTGAATCATCTCGCCAAGAAAATGTGACAAAACCCAGGTGTGCCCAAATTTCACCAAAACAAAAATCCTGATTTTTCGTAACGTTCCTGACAAAGGGTTTGTGAGGGTGGAGTTGGGAGGGGGGGAGGGCGTTCCATGACCTTTATTCGACGTATAGGCATTTCTGGCAAATTTTGTACAAACTCTCCACAGGTGTTTCAAGCACAAGTACTAGTGTGATTTATGCCTTCATAACCCCAAATCCAGCATCCAAATCGTCCCACTGACACACATCATTTTCCATGCAGACATCCCAGGTTAATTTCCTTCCATTTCACTCCAGTCACAAGAAGCTGACCCACCTCCGGGGGGTTCCTACTACTTTGCTGATTCAGACACTCATACATCCGAGATGTACATTTTTTTTCCAGTGTCTTTATCCCTGCTGCTCAATTTGTAACAATCTCACTCAGTCATGTAGGCTGAGCCTTTCACATCCAGTTTGTTTATTACAGAGTCTATTCCGTTCAATCATTCAACAGAGAGTTAGTCTGAAGAGGGAGCACAGTTGCTGATTGAATATATAACACTTCTAATAAGTCTCCTTCTCTGGGATATATCCACGAAGGTACTGGTTGCTCTTCAGGAACATTCTCTTTCAATGCACAATGGCTGAATCATTTGTGGATATTAAAGGGACACTGTCAAGTACTTTTTAAATAGTTTTTAGGGTTTGGGCTTTTTTTACTCTCCATTGTTTGTAATATTCTCTTACAATCTTGAAAATAAAATTTCTTTCCCTACTGATATTGTTCTTTTCCATTTGGGCATGTAGCGTTCTCTCTACTCACCCCATTCCTTTCACCATCCCCGTCCTTCTCTCCACCTCTCATCTGCAACAGGAAGAAATCCATGTTACCGATTTCCTGCTCACTGTCCTCACTCCATGGAGGGTAACTCCCAGCTCTGCGGGGTTGAGCCGTTTTGCCGCAAATCAAGTGTAAGAGTAGGTAAACCTAAAAATACAGAGATCAGCTAATTGAGGAGCAACAGCTCAGCAGTCCCAAAAAAATGAGCCTGCAGCAATCGAGCCTGAATCCAGCCCTCCCCAAAATCACTCTAAGGACTTCAGCCAAGCTGAAGCACTGAGCAACATTGCACAATGGCTGTGTCTGACTGCCCTTTGTCGTTGTACCAGCACCTCTCACAGCTTTTACTGGAGCCATGGCAAATGCAAGTCACCGGCTCCTTCGGCAGCTAGGCTGTCATGGGCCAGGTGTTTCTGGGCTGGGGAAGGTCTCAAACTTTAACCTCCAGGTTTGAACGTACCAGCCATTCTGCAATGCTGAAGGTGGAGGTGAATGTCTTAAGGCAGGTCATTTTTTTTTTCATCTAGATTACTTGACAGTGTCCCTTTGAATATCAGAATGCAACAGAACAGGTACTTCTCTGGCAGAGAGTGTGGGAGGTGAAACACCAGCCGAGAAAGCTGACTTACTGAGGACCAATGTGAACAGCATGGTTTCTGAGGCCACTGTACCTTTATCTGACCAACCTTATTTATTATCTACCAAAGAGTGCTTTTGGCGGTGAGGTGAGGGAAGAGATGTTGGTGGGAGGAGGGAGAGGGAAGGGGCAATTCTGATCATCTGTAAAAGCAGCTACCCCTAGACTGAAAGTGTTGCAGTGAATGGTCTCTGGAAGAACCGCTTCTGATCCACAGTAGAGAGAGAAACCTGGTCAAAGGAAGCAAACTTAACAGCCTCTCGCCCCCATGCCTGTCCTTGAAACTGTGCTCATTCCCAGAGACAGGTAATTGTGGTGGTTTTGGGAAGGGGGAGGCAGACACCAACGAAGAGAAGGCTGTCAGACATAATGTTGTTTCCCTCCCTGTCCTCCACTTGTTTAATATGGAGAAGTCAAATTCCTTTAATTTGGCAAAAGGCTAAAAGTTTTTAAAGTCAGAAGCACAACTGCCGTGAAGGAGTGGTGTGACCTAGTGGTCTGATCACACAGGACTCTGCGTACTCTCGCTCCAGCTCTGCCACCGACTCTGTAGCCTTGGGCTGTTTGGCTCAGTCCCCCACCCACACAAAAGGGGGAATAACAATACGTACCTACCTCACAGGGGTGTTGTGAGAATCCACGTTTCGTAAAGCCTGCTGACGTGCTAGGTAGTCCCGAGGCGCGTGGTTGGGGGTGAGCAGCACTGCCCTTTTGCTGGTTACAGCCTGAATCGCTCAGCAGGAGTCCCACGGGCCCTCTCCTGCTTGGAGATCCTCCTTGATCCGAAGCAGAGGGTGTCGTCCGAGTGCCCTCTCCTCCATTGCATGACATTTTAAGCAGCTGTGAGGTGCAGGGTAGTGACCAACATGAAGTCCTACTTGACCAGGGATTTGCTACAACGTTTTCTATATCTGTGGGGTTTGTTGGTTTGGTTTTTCCATATATTGTGCTTAGAAATAAACTTTCCACTTAGGGCTGGCGGTTCGGGGTCTCTTCTGTTGCATGGCAATGTATACAAGTCTTATTGTCTGTCTTACTGTGCAAATGATCCCGCAGCCCAATTTCAAAGATGGGTATGGTCTGAGCCTTTTCATAGCGGCAGAAGACTCAAAAGCCTGTCTAGATTGTTTAATATTTAAACACCACTATGAACTTGTCAATTGTATGTGTTCTGTGCAATACGAAGCATGTCATTACCTGGCTTGATGGGCAGAGGGGCTAAAGGAAGGTCAAAACTTGTTCAAAGAGCTTCATACACATGCCAGCTTGGAGCCGAAGGGCTGCCACCAGCAAAGCAAACTCGGTGAAGCCATTGCAAACTGTTTTCAGGACAGTTTATTCCAGAACAAGGTCATTCCGAGTTTATGAACTTCTAGGCTGCCGGCCTGAGAGAACAAGTGCAAATTTAGCGTGGGGTTTGGGCTTTGGGATTTTCTTTTTTACAACTCCCCAAAGAATTGATGGCAGAAATACCGAGGAGGATCTCTTCCTTCCATAGCACAGTTCTCTTGACTCCTACCACTTCCTTTTGCCATTCCCTTTGTGCTACTATGCAGGACTCTAAAAGATGCAAATAGAGATAGTACACTCCTGAGACATGCAAAATACATTGTGTATCAGAGGATTCTAGCAGACAGAAGAGATGAGGTGGGCCCATGTTGTAGGTCTCTATTCTTCCCCCACGTCTTTCCTCCAGTCTTGTCTGCCGGGTTCCTAAAGAAATTTTATCTGTATTTTGTTACAGAGCAGCCACATCAGCTTCCACCCACAAACAAAGCTGAGTTTGGCAGCTGTTTCTCCCACTGGAGAAAAATTCCAGGTCCTATCACTGTGGAGACCCCTCAGTTCTTGGGCTTTGTGGTGCTCCAGCACCACTTGGGGTGGAGGACTATGTTCAGCCATCATCAGAAGTTGTGTGTGTGTGGTCCTGCTCATTCTTGTGATTTCTGCTAGTCTCCTGATTTTACATCTATTTTGACAGGTCTTTCTGGTAATGCTCTTCTAGTTATGCTCTTCTGAGATGTTCTGCTCTATGTCAGTTCTCACCGCTGTTATCACCTATTACATCAGCGCTGGCCTCCAGCTTCCACAGCTTTCCCATTCTTGCCATGCCCTTTCTTGCTAGATATCCGCTACCAAGTCCTGACCCTATTCCTCTGTGCCTGCAATGGCTCAAGCATATGCACCAAGTGTGATCAGAAAACATTGGGACCATTAAGATTCTGTATCAACAGTCAGGTTCAATAAAAGTCACTCAGTCCTCTTTGATATGTATTTACTTTGCCAATCTTGGTGCTTGCTGTTAATTGGCTGCCACAGAAGACCATAATACCAGCAAAATCCATACACCCAGCTAACTCTTGGCTTCTTATTTCAAATATTGGAAGTGATGGGCTGTTTTTCAAGTAAATCAGGTGTGTTCCCTGTTGTGGTTCCCTGAACAAGGTGCTGTAGAAGTTAATGTCCGACCAGACCATGATGGATGACCATCCAAGAACAAGTCAGCAGCAGAGCTTTGACTAAATGGATGTGTCGGCTGCCCACTGCATTTTCAATTGTGGAGACAATGAAAATACTGGTCATGTTTGCCAGTCCCCTAACACTGCTCAAAGCACTTGTATCCGGCAGCAGTAAAACATCAGAGCCAACACCTGTACATGGAAAAAATCCTGAAGACTTCCCAGCTCTGAAGGCTACTCTACTCACATCTGGTAGGCAGTCATTCAAGCTTCTTTTCTTTGTTTTCCTGAAGAGAAAAATGTTCACTTTGACTAAACAAAGCACTGCTACTCTTCAGTAAAGGAGTAGGCTGCAGCATTTGCATTTCCAACCTGAGGATCATCCACCAGGACTCCTATACATCTCGTTGTGAGAATGCAAAGCCAGAAAACCTATTCCTTTCCCTTACTATTATCTATCAGTTAAGGAGGGAAAATTCCTGCAGTAATTGACTCAATAGCAGTACAATTGCCTTAGTGGCAGGGTATCCTAACCTTCTCTTTGCTCTTCACCTAACTTATAACTCCTCATTCTTGAGCCAGCAGACTCCTCATTCTCTCTGTTTCCCTAAACTCCAGCTCTGGAGATCCCCAGTCAGACACAGGCACTGGGTTCCTTACAGACTTGCTTTAAAGTCTTGCTTCATCCTTCATGCATTCAGACAAGCAAATTAATTTCATTGATAGACAATGACAAATTTGATTCCCGAGAGGAGAAATCAGCGTAGGAACTTATTGCGTTGACCTTCACCTCCCCTTCCACATTGAGGGAGATACAGTGAAAATATCAATTGGCTTTCATATGACAGCAATGAGCTGATAGCTCTAGGAACGTTTCCCTCAATAATGCAAGTCTGACATGCTGCCGTTACTGAAGGCAGTCTTTGATCTCACATCTATCACGTAGGATACAAGGAGAACAGAATCTGACACTTCTGCGCTGTTTACACAAACATCAAAAACTAGCTTAGTTCATTATTCAAATTACCTCCAGGTCAGTGGGTGAATTTCTCCTTTGATGAAAGAAGGATGTTTTCTCTTCCAGAGATGGAATTGCAAGTTAAAATATATGTACACATATACATATATATTTATAAAAGTTATGCTGCAAACAGAAAGAAAAGAAAGAGGAAAACAAATAAACCTGAAAGAATACTTAACTGTATTGAAAAAGTCTTGACAGGAGCTAGGGAGTTACTGTCTGGAAAGTACTACGTATGACTTGACTTCAGGCAAAGAGAATACAGAAGAGTGAAATGCTTTTATGGGATCTCTGGCCTGCCTCTGGTTCGTCTTCATTACTGTATAGCATTTAATTAGCGCATAAGTATGTGGAAAACAGACGCTCAGCTCCAGCAGTGGGAAACAGACTGAAGACTCCTCAAACTTATCTGAGCCATACTCAAACAAGCACAATGATGCAAAAGCACAAGCACCTGCCATTAAAAATGTTTGACATGAGATGGATTTCCAGACAGATACCAGGATCCAGAGATAAATTATTTTCCAAGCTACATTGACAACATTTTTCTTAACTTGTTTACTTCCTATTGTTAACGCATTTTTTCAAGCACCTTGGGTAAAAGAAAAAAAAAAAAAAAGAAAACAAAAAAGATTCTGATACCCATGACATAAAGAATTAAATAACAGTAGACAAGAGGTACTAAGGTGAGATGCTTCTTTATATATTATGTTGTGCATCACAATGTGCTTTGCCACACAGAATTAGTTTCTTGCTTGCTAAAAGAAAGTCTGAGTGATTGAGTCTGCTCATAATCAAGGAGCCTTCCTAGAGCATAACCTTCTATAGGGGACCACAGATTCCCCCTGGATAGGATAGCCAGCATCATTCAGAGGTGTTTTGCTTCCTCTTGTTCCCTTCTTTGGCAGGATGACCACCTGTTTGCTACTACATCTTATCTACACCATGTGAGCTGGCGTCTGTGGGCTCAAACATTGCATGAAGGTCAGGCATATCATTTGTGCATGGTCACTGCTCAAGAAGAAAGCTTTTTTCCAAGAGGGAGAAGGCTGCTGTTAGCAGGTCACTGTTGGGCAGCAGGAACATTTATCTGCTTATATCAGTTTTGATATCACCAATAACAAGAATGGCAAATGCCCAGCGTACCCTCACAAGTGACCTATTGCATCCTTTTACAGTCAAGGTGGTGGCTCTCCTTATTGCTCTTCCTTACAAGACAGCTTTCCTTTAAAATCTAGCTTGCCACATTTCTCTGGAAGTTTTTCCACTGCACATTACAGAGGTTCAGTTTAGTCCTTTTTCCTAGAAGGACAGACAGACTTCTACCTAACCCACCTGATCTTCTTTCCTAACTACAGAGACAAAAAATTGATGTCCTATAACAGTTGGTCTCAGTATCTGTGTTCCCTTTCCCTCACTATTCCCTAATCTTTGCTTCCCTTGGAAAGGGGCGATTCATTGCTACTAAATGGCACAGCATCTCTTTGAAATGGGAGCATGGACAGCCCTTCTCCTCCTTGCTGAGCTAAGAGGCACACAAACCTTCCTCCACCTCCCTCCAGGCTGGTGCGGCCAGCAGAACCCTTATTCAGAGTTTAGCTTCTTGACCCAGAAGAGCAAACGCTTTCAAACATTTCCTTCACTGGTGTAGAGCTGTGGAATAATGGCGCGGGGAATCTTTTGTTTCTTAGCCTCAGGGTAACGAGAGTGGATGATGTACCTGAGCCAAAAACACAGTGAAGACAAAGCACTTGTCTTTTGGATGGTGATAAAACTGGGTGAGGTTTGCCCAGATGAGAGAGGAGCAAGAATCTTTGTCAGATTTATATGGCAGCAAAAGAAAATGGCCTTGTCCCTACTGTTTTTAGCTCATACACATCAGCTCTCCATTATAAACAAACCCTCTGCAGGCAAAGCAGGCCAGGCTTAGGGAGAAAATCTTCCTCATACCAGAAGCACAACCAGCCCATAGCTATGCATCAACCCCTTCAGGACTTTTGCCCCAGCGAGGCTGAGAGGAAGAAGGGAGGTAGCTAATGGGGGTGGCAAGAACACTTCCCTGGATCGTCATCCCTAATGGGCACAGTCCCCAGTAGGCTAATTCGACATCTCATCACACGAGCCCCCTTTGAAATCACTCCCAAGGACTATGGACTGATCCTTCACTACTGCAGGGTCTGCCCAGGAGAGAGAGCAGTGTTTCTGCATGGATCTCCAAGGTCTTGGTAGGGTCCCGAGCTGGGCCTGGAACAAATCCCCATGCCCACCGAGGGATGAGATGGGTCAGTGGTGTAACCACGCAGAAATGCTCTCGTTGAGATTTTCCACAAAGATGTCTGTGGGGTTGGGGAGGGGGAGGGGGTTGCTTTTGTTCAGGGCAGGAAGCACGAGGAAGGGAAGGCTGCGGTGTCCGAAACAATCAGACACAAGGGAGGGGTTGACTGAGAGGAATGACCATGTCAACTGTGTTACTGTCCCGTCATTCTCCTGAACGCAGAATGGAAACTTCCAAGTGCTCTTCATGAGCTTACGTTTATTAGAAAACTATTCCTGGGTGTTTAAGGTTGTTTTCTAATGAAAATATACATAATAAAAAAAAAAAAAAGGCAAACGAAAGACTCTTGTTAATCTTTTCCTCTCCTTCTCTGGTAGCCTGTAACACACTGTGAAACTTACCTCCTCCTTTGTTTACTGCCACTCCTGGTCAATAAAACCTCTTTCTTTCTGGCCACAATCTGCACAGGGCCCTATACAGCAAGCTTTCATCTTCTGCCTACACATCAGAGATCAAGACTTCGTGTAAACAAATTTGGAAAACAAAACAAAACAAAACAAACAAACAAAAAAATGTGGCTTGGCATTAACAGCACAACATGTTAGCGCTTTGATTTACTATTTGTTTACAGCATTAAACAGCTAAAAATGTTTACCAAACACTACTATAAGGTTCATGTGTAGTGCCTTCCCTACGTGCAAGGGAGAAGCTCAAGGCAAGTGGGGTAAGTACCTGCAGCACTGAAGGAAATGCTGCTGCTTTCTGAATACCTGCTCTAGTGTGCTAAGTCCTTCCCGGGGACAATACAGAATGGTCCTTGACAATAAGCATCTCCCATCTAAACAGCACTGCAGTCAGCCCTTACTCCACAGCTGTATCATCCACAAATTGTTGTGTGAGCTTCAACACGCAGGGAAGGTTTTGGCATTGTGTACTAAAAGCTCTGAGCATCACTTTTTTTTTAGCTGATGTGCCCACAAGCACATTGCAACCAGCTGCATGCTCTTCCCCGTGGCAGAAGAAAGGCAGGGGCAGCTTTTCATCAGACACAGGGCTCACAAAAGACACACACACACAAGAAGCTCTGAAAACTCGTCTTCTGCTGAAGGGCCACAGAGCTTTCTCGTGGTTGGACACGTGAGGATTCTGCCCTGGAGAGGCTGACAGACTCTCTTCCTTGTTCTTTTCCTGGAAATGAGATAAGCTCTTTTTTTCTATTTTTTTTTAATATTTATATATATACACACAGACGCACAAAAGTGTATAGGAATACACAGAGAGAAGGGAACAAATAGAGAAAAAGAAATGGACAAGACATGACTGGAAAGGAACAGCTCTACTAATCAGAAAGTAGAAACATATGGAGGACAGAAGAAACAAGGGGAGGGGATATGACAACAGGAGCAGCCACAAGGAGAGAAGATAGGGAGCAGGGACAGGACTGGCAGAGAGAAGGGAGGAGTGTGGTGTGAAGAGGCTGGTGGCAACTATTGATTACTGCAGCAACAACACAGATGGTTTGGAGAAAAAGAGGGCATGACAGGCTCTAGAGGATCCTTCAGGAAAGGAAGAAGGAGCTATAAAACACTGGTAGACTGGACTTCGAGTTCTGTCCTGCCAGCTCTTCTATGAGTTTGGGGCCAAAGCTGGGTCTTCTACACATTGTAGCCTGGTTTGTTTTATTCTGTACACACAGATGCATTGTTTAAAAAAAAATAAAATTTATATGGCCTGCACCTGATCAGACCAAAATTAATTTTCTACACCAGCCAGTCAGAGATATGCTGAATTGTAGCAGTTGTAACACTGTGGATTTCAGAAGATCTGGGATAGTGAAATGCCATTTTGCTCTAAAGAAGGTTTTCTGTAAAAGAAGGTTTTAGTGACACTGCAGCCTGGATTCCCTCGCACACAGACAGGAGTGTTGCCAAAACATTGGAATCTGAGCTCAAGCTGCAAAATTCACAGCAGAATTGTAAAAATCACAGGCTTGAGAGTAAAAAGAATTTCAGGCAAGGTGGTAACAGGAAGAGGTTTTAACCACAAGGAATGTGAAACTATTTTGGTTTGGATATGAGTGAAAGTTTCAAAGTCTATCCTGCAGTGAATCTAGGTGCAAGGAGGATATATTTACCTGAATCTTAAAGAAAAAATAATTTGTTTGGGTAATTTCAAGCCGTGCACAACGGTGTCTCCCCTGCAGAAATTACTGGTCAGTTCCAGATGTGATACATCTGCCTTCTGCTCCATGTCCAGAAGAGGATGGCAAACTGGAGATCTGCAATCTCAGTGATAAAATTCCAAAAGTAATGTAGGTCTATCAGACACCTAATGTATTAATTTCGAAAGATCACAACTTCATAATGTCACTAAAATCTCGTCACCCTTTGGAGCAGTCTCAGATTTGGGCACAATGGATCATTTTCAAGGTTACAAGCAGAGGGAGGCTAAATCACTTCACTAGATTCCCACCGTCACGTACAATCCACATGCTTGTCCTTTCCATTCAGATTCATTTTAAGGTGAAAGATGCCAGATGTGGAATTGTTTCTGATCACAGCATGTGGAATGACCCTGGAACCTACATCTGTCCTCAATCTCCAGAAACCACCTCTATGAGTTGAGTAATGCTTGGGTTGTACACACAGGGCATATATTTCATCCTACCTCTGGAGGTATGCAACCTAGGTATCTACAGCTACATCTCAACCAACTTTATATTCATCTAAAGGCCACTTGTCAAATTCTAAGCTGTTTTTGTAATCTTCAGAGAAAAATAGGAGCCTCCTAAGAATTATTCATCCCAATTGTATTCAGCACCAAACTGCCTACACAGTTGTCTAGTATGATTTGAGATGCTCGACTGGCCTCCAGTGTTTCAATTTTAAATTGACACCCATCTCTAAAATTAGGAACAAAGCACCCACCCCTCATTTTGCATGCACTGGGGAGCCAGCAGTCAAATTAGTTGTCTTTTTCCCTGACTTTATTAATCCTAGGAAATAAGTTCGGTTATTAATCATATTAATCATAGACCAACTTAGTAGGTCAGGCTGCCCAGGCTGAATCCAAGATGTGGTCCCTGAAACACTGGTTTATTCAATCATCTTACTTAAAAAAGGAGAAAGAAGGCTAAGGGATTTTTGAGGTGCTCTTACCATCCACAGATTCCAACCACCAAATATCTTAGTCATGCAATTAATTGTGCTTATGGCTTGCAGCTCCAGAAATGTTTTCTGGAGGAGAAAAAAAAAAAAAAGCCTAAAAAAGCACAACCACACACACACCAAAGGAAATAAAATACACACACACACACAAACCAACAAAAACCCTCTGTAGGCGTGGGTTAGGGCCCTCAAATTACTGCTACCTTCTAGGCCTGAATTCCTAAACACAAAAGGGAAAAACAGCATTTCTTAAACAGCAAACTCTGCAAGGCTGTGAAGGAGACCTGGCAAAAAGCTGTTCTCTAAACAGCCAGGCAGCTGGTTCCGTGACTGCCACAATTTGTGGCTCGTGATACTGCGGAGAGCTCTAATCATTACACTGCATCTTGTATCAGAAGCATCTTTCAGAGCTTTGGGGAACTGCTTGTTTGCTTGTTTAAAGACTGCAGTACAGGGGAAAAAAAATAAAAACTAACAAAACAGAGAAGGGATGGTTGAGAGAGGGTGAACACTCAGTCAGAAGGGAGTCAGTACAGCCACCCCATTCAACTAACTGGCCTGATGGAAAATATGGCCTCATGGAAAGAAGAGAAACCCTGGATTAGAAACCATCTCTGGGAATGTTTAACTAAAGCATTTGCCTGGTAGTCAAAGCAAACAAGAAGAATACAGGGATGCATTGAGGCTTTAAAACACTGCTTGCAAGGTTGAAGGGGATCAGGGAATAAACACACCAAAACTATCGATACCCGTTTTATTCTCCAGAGTAACCAGTCTATAAAGGGCAATTGGCCCACGTCCCCACACAACAAGCAGTGATGATTACTGACCACAATGAACTAGTGAGCAACGTTCCTTAAACAAGGAAAAAGACCTTCGTGTTTTGCAGGGACAGCCTATTCCCTTTCCTGGGCTTGATTTGAACGCATCACGTTAGGCTAAGAGTACAGACCATGGGGTATTTGAAGCATTCCCTGTACATCTCTAAGCATACTGTTCCGGGCATGTGTAAAACAAAACAAAACAAACATTACCTCTCCAGAAAAAAACTCTAGTGGTTCTTTGGTACCTGTCTCCACAGTTCTACCACACTTTTCTTGGGGCTTGTGGTGGCATTCGCTGCTGTTACCAAGATGCACATGATTATGTAATGCAACTGTCTAGCATGTTGATTTAATCAGCTAGGGGAAAAAAAAAAAATGTTCCACATTCTATTAATAACCGGCAGTCAGCTCCCTCCCTCCCTCCCCAAATTCCCACAGAAGGAGGATCACAGACAGATCCCTGCGAGCACAAACGAACAGCCTGACTGGATCAATACCATCCGTGGATCCAATTTTGCAATGAATTCCGGGTAATTAATCTGCCAAGGGAAGGGACTCTTAATTAAGGAAAGCCAGGCTGGTCTTTTCCCAAATCTTTTGATTAACAAAGCCCCAGGATTGGTTTGGCTGAGGATTTTTGTCTAAATTTTAATAGTTTTGTTGTTGCCGTTCCTACTAAATGGTTTTGAAAACAACTGTGCAGGCAGCGGGAGAGTCTTCAAGCAGCAGAGGGATAAATACTTCACTTTGGCTTCTTGGCATCATACTAAGGCAAATGTTCTCATTGTTTAAAATGCGGCACCAGTGCTAGGGAAATGCACCAGCCTCACATCTTGGATGGACAGTGTCGTGGAGAGGCTGCCCCACCACCACGTAAAGTGGCCTCAGCTGGGCTAAGGTTAAGCTAACAACTTATCAAGACAGTTCCAACTTCTGAGACTGTTCCCTAGCACTAATTCATTAGTATGGGCAGAGCCTGCTCACCTTAGCCTGTTTGTAAAATGGGAATCAAACGCCTTTATCTCATGGTGATATTAAAATATTCACCATGAATCTTTAGTGTTCACCATTCATGGCGGAGGACACACCTCAAACCACTTTGGCACAGCACGTTCAGAAAGACCCAGGAAACTCCCCCCAAAGGAGGGTTATCCCCCAGCAAGGGCTTTGTCAGCTGCAAGCAAAACTCTCCTGCAGCACTTTGCACATCCAGTTCTGACAGCCTAAGAACGTGTCTTCTTTTTATTTCCCCCAAGATAAGAAGGCTCATCTGTGAAAAATGTGACAATTGATCATGTTTCTATCCTGACGTGGTGCAAAGAGCCAGGAGACCAGACAGCTCAAGGCACAGGATGTTTCTGGAGGTCCTAGGAGAGCTGGGTGAGTGGCAATGAAATGCCAGAGATTTTCAAAGGGGACTCAGCTTTCACCAGCCCTGCTTATCTTCACAGGTCAAACCCTACTCACCTGTCTGAAGCCAAGGAGGGCCTCACATATTTATTGCCAAAAATTAGCATTTTCCCTGATGGTATCCTGGATACAGGGTAATTATGGTAAAGACTGATGAAAATCATTTAACTCCTGCTATGGGGACAGCATGATGGCAGCTAGATTAAAGATGTCCTTTATAAACCGTCACAGAGCAAGAGAACATGATAATGAATGAGTTAATTACACCAGCATTTGAGGTTGATACTACCCATCTGCCGCTTTGATTAATTAAAACTCTGACAGACGACAATGAGGCCTTCTCAGGTCTGAAAGTAATTAATTGCCAAAGTCCTCAATAAATCTAACAGCATCACTGACCGAACTGGTGGAAGGGATCACTCTGAGCAGCTCCCGAACCCAGGCAGCAAAGCAGATTAGGGAGCCTGAAGCATCCTCAGCAGGATGCATTACTGCATGGATGTAACACAGAGCTGCGGCCAAGCAATTCCAACTTTCTCTTTGAACTCCTCCCCTCTGTCTCTCTTTTCTCTCAAGATCAGATGAAGGAGTCTCACCAATGGATACGAACTACTAAAGGGGCTGGTAAGAAGACACTGGCCCGTTTTGGCCTTTGTCCGGGCTTCCAAGCGATAGTGAACTGGTTCAATTTGTTTCTCTCGTATGTCTGCTCTCCTCAGGCCAGTGGAAACCAGTCCTGACAGAGGGGCGTTTTGGAAACACAATGGAGAGCTGAACTCTTCCAGTGCTTTCCCTGTTCATCACTCAAAGGATGACAAAATGCAGCAGCAGTTGCCCAGACACAAGTGGCAACTCAAGTCCCCCTATGAGCAGGAGAGACTCAGCACAGAGCAGGAACCTGAGGAGCCATACACAGGCTGGGGGGAGCAGGAGCAAAGGCAGGGCAAAAGGAACAGAAGATGAACCTGATCAAAGGACTTCCTATTGTGAGAAATACCAGACTCCAGAACTGCTTTCCAAGGTAGGTAGAAATGGAAAGCACTGGTACACAACCACTTAAGAGCAAAAAAGTCAGTCAACTGCAGAGAAAACTGGTCACAACCAGTACAGAGGGAAGAAAATCGTGCTTTTCACTTCTCACTCTTTGTCTACACTGAATGTGAATCTTGCAAAATAAGCCCAGCTAGGACAAAGTGGGATTTTGAGGCAACACCACAAAAAATCACTTCCTTTTGCAGCAAACAGTGCTAGAGGACAACAAACCATCCTCAGTGTAGTTTTGAGACCTTTCACTACTAGGTGCTGCTTTTTCAGAGATGGAAGGGAAAAAATATTTCATGTTTCCTTCCATTTTTATCTTAGCTTACACATTGTTAAGCATCTGTTGCGTTTCACCTTGAAGAGTTACAATTGAAGAACTAAAGCTTCTTCATAACACAGATCCAAGACAATGATTAATAACAATTATCAGCAGTGATTAGCTAATACAACCAGAATACAACAATCCCACTGCCTGCCAGTCATTTGCAGGCATCAGCACTGACGCATGGCAGCTGTTCTTATTAAATCCTGCCTCAGTCCTGAGGCCAGAAGGAGAATCCTCTTTGCAGCAGCACCCTCAGCCGAATGCGATGCAGGCTGCAGCTTCCCATGCTGGAAAGGGACAGGAAAAAGTGAGTTTAGAAATACTGAACTCAACACAGAAATCTTTATAACCCTGTTAGAGAGAGAGGTAAGTATGTCCTGGGTGCATGGCTTTCCTGCTTTGTGCATTATTGCTGACTCTGGTTGAGTGACTGAAAAAGAACCACATATAAAAGGGTTATCAGGGGTAACTAAGCAAAGGACAAAAAAAAAAAGGTTTACTTACAGTGTGCCTGTTTTAATTTACAGAAGCTGATCCTTGCAAAAGGGTTCCCTAAGGAAAGGAACTTGTAAAGTGAAACAACAGACCGATTTTCCAGTTACAGGACGGGAAACTAGTTCAGGAAAGAACCCCCTGAAAGGGGTAGTAGGAAGGCACTTCCCACCAGATGAAGTGGACGTTTGCAAAAACTACTAAATCTTTGTCTCCATGTACACAAAGGAGGCTGAGAGACAGATGTCACATACATACCTAGACTTCCCAGGAGAATAATGGAAGAGAAATTAGGACAGAACAGATGTTCCAGGAATTAAAATTTTGAAGGGTAACCCAAACACCCAAGGAGCTGTTGCTGCTCAGGTGAGCTCCAGCTGCCTCAAGGTATGCCTATATCACACGGTACAGAAGCTTACAGCTGTGCCCTATGCACCTCAGAAAAGCCCGCTAGGTTGGGGTCATTCAAGTATCTCTTCGGAGCACTGCGCCCTGAGCCCAAAGGGCAAGAGAAGGCTAATGTTCTGCCAGGCCATTTTAAGCCATCTTCAGGAAGCAGATAAGAAGGTGCATCTCTGCAGATCATTTGATGACAGATACGTACAGACATGTGCATCCACTGCAGAGTGAATCCATCACTCAGCCTGAGATCTGGGTCAGGTTTTCTGGCTCAACCTGAAACTCAACTGATGACCACTCAAAAAAAAAAAAAAAAAAAAAAGGAAAGAAAGAGGGACGAGAATGGGGGTGGGGAGCAAGAGGTGGTTGTTTTCACACATTTTTGCTTCCTGTCCTTTCTAAATGTCACACATTTGTCTCGTGTTACTTGGAAGTCCCTTCTTTGCAGCCAGCAAGAGAACACACATTCAGCAAGGGAACTGAGAAACCATTCAAGGGCAGGGATTTTTTGTCCAAGTTTCAGGCTTAAACCCATTTCACGTATGGCCTGTAATGTTAAAGACATGACAACTCCCTCCAAAACCCACACAATTTAGAATTTATTTATTTTTTTCTTTTTAGCAACCTTGAAATCTTACAGCATACCAGGTGACAAACAACTGGTCTAAGCTCCCTGCCATATCTGGCTGTTGCAAGTTAAGATGACGATGTGGGTATAACTTTATCTTTGAATTTCTTTCTGATCAATGTCAATTCAAGACAAGCTCTGATGTTGTTTTCTTCTCCACTGAATAGACCAGGTGCTACAGAAGCACTTGGTGTAGCCTAACACAGCGCAAAACAAGTGTCGTATTGAATTAGCAATTCTCTACTACACTTCTCTTCCTCTACAAGCAGGCACGTAGTAGAAGCATAATCAAAAAAACAAAAACAAACAAACAAAAACCTACCACTTTCTAACTCCTATTTTATAGGGCAATGAATACCTTCACTTGCATAGCATTATTGTCATGGACTGTAAAGAGAAGCATTAATTAGACTAGCACATTAGACACTTGTTAATTACAATCTCAGTTCTCAATGTCAGGAGAGTTTCATTTGTGCCTTCAGAAGCTGTGAAAGGAGGAAGGATCTATCTTTGGGGGAAAAAAGAAAAACTGTTCTCTGATGTGTAGTTTTTGAGTTGGCTAACCAGCTACTCGGCGTAGCTGTCTTATTTTTGTCACAGGCATCTGGATATTTGGGTGGACTGATTTTATCCAGAAGAATACACAAACTCAGCATCTCTGAGCTGAAGTCAATGAAACCGTGTTAGTAAAGCATCAAAACTAAAATCAAACCACAACACTCATTACTCCTAACGTTTTAATCTTGATCTGAGATTTGCATTCACAGATGAAGTTTCAGAGTATCCATACACATCTCAAACTGAGCCGTCATTTCAGACAACTTCAGCTGATAAGAACTCAGTTCAAGAGACAAAAACACAACCTAGGTTTGAAGGAACTACTTCTAGTGTTTTTGACTCAGACTTAATTCTGACTTGAACAGATTTTCCCCTCACCCATGCATATTAATACCTTCCTCTCCCACGAATTTTTACTCTATTTCCACACCTCTCCAACTTCTGTATGATATGCAATATCCTGCATTTTCACAGCTCTTTCACAGGTGGTCTCTGAGCCAGATATCCCTTCTGAAATTCTCTGAAGCATAGAAAGAAGGATAGCTGCCCAGGAAAAAAAGGTATGTCGAATGTACCAAAGGACCTGAGAACTGACTGGTAGGTTGCACTCAAACAAAGGAGCACTGAAAAGAGGAAAAATCTAGGATTAAAGTCAACATCCATCTTGCACAAAAACTGAACAAAGCGATGGGCGTACCAGCAGCAATGGCAGGCAAGCTCACGCACAGAGTAGCACTGGAAATGGTCCGGTTAAATTTCTGCTCAACGCTCTGCTCACACAATTGACCAGAACCACTTGCCTCTGGGGGCAGACAGATAACTCACAGCAAAACGAGCAGAACTCAGAGGTCCCAATCACAAATCTCACCAGTTAACTACCCGCACATAAAGTCCGTCTGTAAGTACATATGGTCTTTGAACTGCTTTTGTATGCTTTGACTCACCAGGAATAGAAACTCCACCTTCAGGGACACGTTCTCATACTGCCTCTCCATCAGCCAAGCTGAACAGGCAGCGAAGAGGACACGAACAATTGAACTCTTGCAATGAAGCACTTGTGTCTGGAGCCCTTTTGCAAGCTCTCACACAATTGTGTGCAAATAGATTATTAGACTCCTCTGAAAGTTTTGGAAATGTTGAGACTTTTTTTTATAAGCAATCAAGGGAGTGCAGGCCTAGCTGAAAGGGAGTATGTTTGGTCCCTTCGGAGTGAGGACTGCAGGCAGCTGTGTCAGACAAGCCCCTCTACACTGGGCTTCAGCAAAATGCCCAGGGAACAGCCTCATATTGAAATGTGCTGTGCATAAAGCAATACAGGCTTTCTGTACCTCTTGCTTTTTAACCATTTGTTTTTCCTGATGGAAAAGGGCCATACATGTTGGCTTCCACTAACACGGCAACCTGCTTAAGATGCTTTACAAAGGATCGGTGAACCTACCTCGAACAAAAATGAGACGTTTGTTCTTCCTCCATTGATTGCACGGGAGAAAAGTTGCCCTTTCAATAGCTTGCATTAGCTGCTACCAATCTATGCCATTGTTCTGTCTTACAGGAGAGATCTGAGGCAAAATAATCTGCTCCCAGCTGCCTTCTTCTCTGTTCAAGCATGCAAGGGAAAGCTTGTGCAGAATCTTGGATTTCTAGGAGGAGAAGCAACAATTGGATTATACATTCTGACTTCTTCCAAGCCCCTTAGCTCTTTTGGCTAGTAATGCATTTCCCATAAAACCATCCAAAGCACCGATGTGAAGGCTTCAGAATGTGTAAAAATCCATCAGTTTCCTCCGTATTTTGATCTAAACTGTCAGCCAGGAATCTGGTCTCTCCAGTTCTTCTGCCTTTGCTGCTTTTAATTATGAGACCTGCAGCAAATCACTTAACTACACATTACAAACTTCAAACAGAGAGACCAAAGGTGGCTCTCTACCAGCCCACCAAAGTGCAGGGGGATCACCACAAGTAACACAACATCCAATTAAATGCAGGTTGTCTAGAATTCAAGCACTGTCTGCAAAGTGAATCAAAAATTAAAGGTGTTACTACAGACAAATACATGTGCTTAGAAACAACATTTCTTTGGCTACATCCACTGTCTCTCACAGTTGCATCCTATATTTAACAAGGGAAGCAGCAAGACATGCTTACTCTCAAAGTGCATTTCATGAGAGAGAATTTGCTACACCATGCCCACAAAAGAGGCTCAGATAGCAGCAAGAAGATGAGTTGGTAGAAAAGTCTGGCTTATATTGGGCTCGGTAACATTTGATTAGAGAGCTATCGAAGGCTGGATTTTGACAGATGACAGGAGAACGCTAGACTCAACATAGGCACATTTTGAACCCACAGACACACAGTCTGTTACCAGGAACACCAAGGGTATTTTTGGAGTCACTCAGAATCTGCCTTGTAGCAATGTCTTGTCGCCCTTCTCTTCACCCTCACGTGCTTTCTCCACCTCTTCTCCAAATGTGCAGTGCAGGGAAAGTTTGGATTTTTGCATTATTTACATCCCTAAGGGCATGTGACCTTCCAGTTGCCACTTTCTGTATCTTTCTACTGACAAACCAGCACTGAAAATGATTTGCTGGTAGAGCAAAGCCCAGTACTAAACACCTTAACCACAGAGAAAGGACTCCAAAGACATACCAGTTGCTTACCTTTTACAATCATGACGGACCTCAAGAAATCCCTTAAGGCTTTTGTTGCCACATTTGAGGTAGGGCAAGGTGTGATTCTGTATTAGTGGCACACAGAAGACTAACATCACTTCCCACCTGCTTTGACTTGCCCAGGTCTTCCCTTTGTCAGCCTAGAGCCCTAGCTGGGGGATGGATACACCTCCCTTCCTTTAACAGGCACAGTCGGAGAAATAGGTGCATGGGGTGACAGTGTTTAATTTGTGTTTAGACCTGGCTTTTATGGATCCCCAATTTTATCTTCTACCAGAGTTGTGCACAAGCCAACTGGATGCCAACAAATAAGGAGAGTCCTACATAAAGTTTGCTTTAACCAGACCAGCACCCGGCTCACCACTTGATGGACCAAGGGCAGGTGTTGTCTTATTTCCATTACATAAACTCAGACACGGTTGATCCAGGCAACACAGTGACCCCAAAAGCCTCAGTGACATGGGCTCAGCTCAATGCCATCTGCTCTGCAGAGTAGGGGGAGTCAGCATCACATGAACTGGCTGGAGCTGGTGCTTTAGGATCAAGATCCTAACTTGGCTCTTTTAAAGCCTGTGCTACCTCTTGGTCTTGAAAGCTGACTTGGGTGATGCTCTTTCTTTCCTCCTGCTGATCTACAGATCAATCTGAACCTCTTCATTTATCTAATTATAGCTGCAGGGGGCTCTTCGCAGCTCGAGTGCATTTGTCTCCTGTGCTGCTAATACAATCAGGCACAAAGATCACTTCATTAAAAGATCATCTACGCTTTCTCTTATTTGAGCAATAAAAATCACTCCTTCGTCATACAAACTGGACGGCAAAAAGTGCAAAACTTGACGACTCGAGATAGCCCAAAGAGCAGAGTTCAGCTCCAAAGGGCAGCGGGAGGAGGAACTGTCACCAAGTAAATGCAGCACTTCCACCGTGATTCAGATGGAGCTACGGGCACCACCCTCCAAGCCCCAGCTACTCTTCCACCAAAGCCTCTACTCAACCTCTAACTTGGCACTATTCAAGCACTGATTTAAGGCACTGCTGCCTTATGCTTGAGCTGGTGGAATGGAAAGGTAAGCACTGTCCAAAGCCAGCCAGCTTTGATCATCACCAGCAGAGGTGCCTGCACCAGCCTAGCTGAGTTTGCAAAGCAAGGATTTGAGGCTGCACCTCCTTCTTCACAGAGCTGCTGGTGAGAAGGACAAGCCTCCAGCAAAGCAGCAGTGCTGCAACAAAGCCACGGCAGCAGTCTTCAGCCACCTCTGCTGGACTCCAGCAAGGACACTCATCTCTGCACAACAGGGCTCAGCTATTGCACAGATAAATCAGCGTTCTGCAATCAGGTACAGGGTGGAAATGAGGGTACATTGAATGAAAGGTGCAGATTATCTGCGTCAGAACGCCAAACTGACTCCAGCTCTCCTGTGTTGTATATTGATGTCTTCTTTTATTCCTCACTCCACCCATGCTCCTCTGCTTTCCTGATGCATATCCTGCCTGAAATGCAAATTGCAGGGCTTGTGCAATCAGGCAGACACTGTCCTCAGAACAAAAGAGGTTCTCTTTTAAGTAGCTGCTGGTATAGAGAGGATGTTGTCTAAAAAGGAGGCTGGGAATGCCCCAGCAAACACATCTGCAGGCCTGTACTTAACACTCACCTGACAGATGTAGCTTCTGGCTTGTTACCCAGAGGATATTTGTTATAAAAAAGAGCACATCTTCAGCAGTGAAGTCTAAGAGACAAGATTATCATCCAAAAGAAAACAGGTAGAGGAAGGATTTGAATTTGAGACTCCAATATCGCTAGAAAATGCTTTAACCTCTTGGCTAGGAGGCATTACAGAGGTAAAGGAGCAGCACAACCAGCCTGTCTTCACTGATTTGTTTTCAGATCTAACCTATTTTTGCAGACATCATCTGAGGACACCTACCCCTCAGGCCTGTGAGTTAAGAACACTTCCTTTGTGAATTCTGCAGCGAAAGCAATGCACCCTTGAGACATGGATGGTAGAGCATATGCACAGAATATGCAGGCAAA